AAAAAAAAAATCACTTCATTTGCTGCAAAGATGAGTAACCTATATTTAAACCTGCTTGTTAACTTTTAGTTTCAGGATCACTTGCTGTTCTGTTTGTTATCTACAGAAAGAGAGAGAAAAGAACAGCTCATTTGCAAGAAATTGCCTTTTTACTGTCTGTGAGATAAGTAAAGCTTAACATCCATCCATCATCTATACACTGCTTTATCCTCACTAGGGTCATGGGGGGCTGGAGTCTATCCCAGTTGACTCAGGGTGAAGGCAGGAGACACCCTGGACATGTCACCAGTCTATCACAGGGCTGCACTTAGAGACAGACAACCAAGCACACTCACATTCATACCTACGGACTATTTACAATCACCAATTAAACTCAACATGTTTTTGGACTGTGTGGGAGGAAGCCAGAGAACCTGGAGAGAACCCACGCTGCACGGGGAGAACATGCAAACTCCACGCAGAAGATCCCAGGTGTCCACACCGGGACGTGAACCATTGACCGTCTTGCTGCGAGGCAACAGTGCTAACCACTGCTCCACTTTGCAGCACCCTGTCTCAAGTTGTGTTATGTTTATGGGCTACTTACTCTGCTAATGTCTCCCTGTTGGTATAAGTCTTCTCTATTCAGCCACTTTTGTAATTCTGGAGTTTGAACACTTCCATTGATTTCCATATTCAGCCTAAAACTTTCAATTTTTACTCTAAAATATGGGAGCTGTGACCTTTGTTGTAGTGCAAAACGAATTGCCTCAAACCTGCAGATGGCGCTGTTGTCTGTGAAAGAAGTAAGGCTTAACATGGACTCTTGAACAAGTTGAAAACATATAATACCGTCTCTATTTGTGTTTCAGGGTCACTGAAGGCGTTTTGAAGGCATCCCTCATTAATCACTGAGAGAGGAACTTAAAACATTTCAACCTTGTCATACTACGACTTTATCAGTGTTTTACTACAAAGACTTTCATTCTGTCTTTGAATCTCACACCACAATGTACAATACAATGAATTCAAACTGTAAGCACGGCAGTAGGAAAGCCCATATGAAAGGCAGAGAACATTGTGTTCCCACTTTAAAAACATTCTGTTCCTCGTGCTGCGTTTGACTATTTTGCTTCTTTTCTCTTGCATTTTGTCTCAACATGTCAATAAAGATCTGGACTGATGACCTCCAATATTATAACTGATCTACTTTCTATGTCTGCCTTGTGCTGTGATGTGCAATCAAATTCTGCTGTTTNTCAATAAAGATCTGGACTGATGACCTCCAATATTATAACTGATCTACTTTCTATGTCTGCCTTGTGCTGTGATGTGCAATCAAATTCTGCTGTTTGTGAGGCTATAACGAATGAAGCAGTCCGGCCTCTCCCATTAAAACTTGAATCTAGTGTGTTCTTGGTAAAGAATTACAAGATCTCCTCTTGTGTTAAATACAATGTTCTGTATGTATTATTCATTGGGATTTTTTTTATATGTATCACCAGATGTAAAAACTGAGTTATTTGGCAAAGGTCATTATGTCGAAATGATGTCAAAAAAAGAGGTCAAATGGATAAGTGAAAAACAGATAACACCTGATGCATTTACTTTGTGTTTATTTCATGTGTAGTTTGTACATATTGTACAAGTCCAAGGTTGATGCACAGATGAACTTTTATTTTCACTCTATAGTGAACAGATTTACCATCGAAGACATTTAACTTTGTCTTGATTTTCTAACACATAAAACCACCAACAGCTAATAATTCACAGCAAAAGCAAGCAAGCAATTATTTAATTAATGAATGAATAATTTATTATTTATGTAGCATCTTATACACAAAGCAAAAGTAAAAAGAAAACATTAAAAACATGAAATAAAGTAATAACGTAACAAAAAATTAAGTAATTATTTCAAACCAGTACAGACAAGTGCACATATATTTATAGAATAATTCAAACTGATTGACTAAGATGAAAAAAAAGACAAGTTATGACAAGAATACAAGCATTTAAGAGACAAAATGTGCAGTTTAATACAGAAAAAAAATGAATGAAATGAGTGAAGGAGTAGCCAAGTTTAATCAAAGTACAGGCACTTAGACCAGACTTTATAATAATACTGCAGCTATTAAAAGCCACCTTTGGTTTTGTACCACTGAGCTCTGGCAACAACGTCGTTGGAGTAGTCTCGTCCTGTTGTTTTCTTATCCACTTTCTCATAGGACTTGACTTGCCCGTCCCCTGTGTTGTAGGCTGCTATCCCCCCTGCAGAGACAAACACAAACAAATCTTAGAAAACTGTTCAAGAGAGCTGAAACATGTGAGAGTTTGCTGATTCAGTAAAACAAACCTTTCAGCTGCTGCTCACTGTTCCAGTTGGGAAATTTGATGCGGATCCGATCGATAAAATAAATCAGGATCTCGGTGCCTTGGCAGAGATGTTCCTCGCTGTTCCAGTCACCCTTTTTAGGGTGTCTACCTCCATCTGGACTGACATCAACCTACAGAGATGGAGAAGAAATGGGATGTTGTAAAGGCTCTGTGAGGCTCCACAGAGAAGGTTGTGAGTAAAGCAGTGGGATTTTCTCTCAACCTGCATCAGTCCCCAGGTTCTCCCGCTGTCTCCCCAGCCGTTCGTAAGCACATTTCCAGCCCTGGACCCTCTGGAGATGATGGCAGCAATAACAGCTGGCTCAATGTCATATTTAGTTCCCACTTGTTTGATTATTGACCTGTAGTTCTTCATTCTGGCATAATCGATCTTTGCCATCTTGTGTGATGCTTCCACACCTTTTAGAGAAAAATCCAACAACAGGATTTAGGCCTCAGTGGAACAAATTCCTCTGTTTTCTTGTCCTTGCTAATAAAATGCTTCAGATTAATGCTTTTATTACAAGTCGAGTGTTTCTCCAGTATTTACCCTCACAGTCCAGCCGGTCCTGATCAGCTGTTTCACGTGAAGCTCCGGTAGTTTCAACATCCATGATGTTTCCATAACCTGCAAATATTTCAGTTATTGGAGACCAGAGACTTACACATTGAACTCATCCTTAGAAAAAAGAGCCACAGTAACATGTGTGTATGAGAAACAGAAGCTACAAAGATACAATTTTTTACAAGATTTTTAAAGAAAGAAAAAAAATGTAGACTTGTGTTACGAAAACACACATGAGTTGACCTTTAAAATATGAAGGCATCTGTGAAAAAGGGATGAGAAGCCTGTTTTCTCCCTGGCAACAAGTCTGTTTATTCTACACACATGCTGACAGCTGAACGTCTACATTTATCAGCAACACAAGCACCAACCCATTTTTCCTGTTTCTTCCTCTGGTGGTCCCTTCAAACTTGAACAAAGGAGGTCTTGATGCAGCGTCTGTCTGCCTCGACTGTGCTGCAAACACAAATAACGCTTATATTAAAACCTGCTTGTTCACTTTCAGTTTCAGGATGACTTGCTGTTCTGTTTATTATCTACAGAAAGATAAAGAAAATTGCTGATTGACAAAAAATTGATTTTACTATCTGTGAGATAATTAAAGCTTAATGTCCATCCATCCATCCATCATCTATACACCGCTTAATCCTCACTAGGGTCATGAGGGGCTGGAGTCCATCCCAGCTAACTCAGGGTGAAGGCAGAGGACACCCTGGACAGGTCACCAGTCTATCACAGGGC